ATTTTTATCAATAAGAGCTTGTGTTTGGATTGCTCAAGTCACCTGCTTTAAAACAAACAAGCGACGATCTGGTAATGTTGCTGGAATGATATCACCATATACTCGTTTAGCCTCCTCTGCAAAGAACTCAATAAAGCTAGCCCCATAACTAACCTGTAGATTACACAATTAATTGATACTATAATAAAAATGACAGAGCAAAGCTTTAACATAAAAAAAGTTCAAATAAGATACCTCGCCAATGGCCTCTTTTAAAGGTTTTCCTTGCTCTAGTGTCATAAGTTGCCCAAGCTCTTCCTTGTGGATCATTAGCAAATCAAACCTTGATACATACAGAGAGAAATCAGCTTACCATGGATAATGAAATACAGTGCAACTTGTGTTTTCAAATGTATAAGTAGTGATTCAGAAGAGCAAGGCCAAAATTTCAACTTGACACTTTGATGGGATCTTAAATAAACTCCTGGTTTACAAGCCATGTCCACATTAGGAACATTCTAAAATACTTTGGACTTTTGGAGTATTGGATATGAAATGCAGGTTCTAAGCACTACCGGAATACATATTTATATGTTTTTCTAACATTAAAAACATTGTCCTTCTGCAATTTTGTTGTGTTTTAACTTTTTCTTTTTATTTTTGGGGAAAAAAAAAGAGCCTTTGCGTTGTTTCTGCTTTCCTTTTCTAAAGGAAATTTGAAAAAAAAAAAAAAAAAAAGAGGGGGGAAATAACAATAAAAATAAAAACAACAGCAAAAATTCATAATACATGGGCACACTGTACTTCTAATTACAGTGAGGTATCAAACACCCTGATATGGATGCATCCCATCAAGTCATGTCAGGTATCAGGTTGGGGAAATTCTAATGTGTTTCCTGGGCAAGGTTGGCCCAAGGGCACTTTGTAAGCCCATAATGAGATGCTGGCCTAAGCATCCCAAGCTCAGCATTAGGCAAGACTAATTCCAGTTTGGCCTCAGATCTATTACATCTCAAGCTAGGAGTTCGGCTTACCAAGACCAATGAAAGTTTGTATCTGATTGGATTTTAGGTCACCAGTCCTCAACTCCTCATGCAAATTGTATAATGTGAGTTTAGTCAGGATTATGCCTATCCCTATAAACACACCTTCTGCCTAGCATTAAGCCCATCTAGCAATAAATTTTACCATAAGCAATTGCTATCTTTTAGCTATTGTAATCACTTTGAACTTGGGATCTCTTGATTTTAGTTCAAGTTTCCTCCCAGTCTTCGGTTTCCTAACTTCTTTCTGGTGATTGTTGGTGACCACTACTCAAGATTCAAGAATTATTGATGGCACGTAAGTCAAAGAACCTAGTCTGAAAATATGCAGGTTTCATTATTGGCAGGATCTCGGAGCACTTGAGGGGAGTGGTCATGCAACTTCAGGGCTCAATATCACATACAAATAAAAGATAACAAAGCTAACTGTTATGCTAATTTTGACCATTAACTCTACATTTTTTTAATAGCACCTCATTACCACTTTTCACTGTATTGCTTCAACGATAAGTCATAACAAAGCCATCAGTCTCTCATTTTTTTCTGTGCCAATCAAAGTGATTTCTGGTCACTCCCATTGCTTTGTTGCTTTGAGCAACAATGTTCTCACTTTGAGTAAGTCAAGGGAGACCCATGCACCCGGCTTCCATTTAGGGAGGATAAGTGAAAGCAAGATCCTTAAGTTCACTTTTATTTTGAAAAATGATAAAATAAAACAAAATAAAATAAAAATAAAAGGACAGAATATATTTTTGTATTTAAAATTATTCAAAAAAAAAAAAAAAATCATCACCAAACAGCCAATAAGCATGTCATACCATTTCCTTAAGCATTTGCTCCTTTCAGCAGCAGTAACTTTGCTCCATGCTTTAACAATAAATATTGAATATATTAGGAAAGACCAGTAGATGCTAGGACAGCTACAGACAGAGATATGCATATACATGTATTTCAGTTAGGGACAATGACAAATGATCATGAAATTATCAATGAAAAGCATAGATTACATACAAGAACGAGAATCATTCTATGCATTTTGGCACAAATGTAGATTTATATATGTTATGAAACCAAATCAAGGCCAGATTGAATCATAGTGTCTAACAATATTTTTAGAAAGAAACACAAAAGAAAGCATCACAAGAACTATTTATGAAAACCTTACAATGAAATGCATTGGAGGCTGAAGCAATTGCATCATTGGTCTCTTTCCTTCCCATTAAGGGGACATCAGTTATTACCTCCCCTGTTGCAGGGTTGCACACCTGCCACAGCAATGAACATGTTCTTGAAAGAAGATAGCAATTCAGAGGTCAAAATGCTGGAATGTTTCATCACGCTGTTTCAATCTTTTTTTAATCTTGTTTTCTTTGTTTATGGGGAAGAAAGAATACAAACCTTCATAGTCCTTCCATCATGAGCATCAACCCATTTCCCTCCGATGAGGGCCTGACTTTTCAACAACCCAGATCTATTTAGGTGAGAAGCTACACTTGATGATTCAGTACTTACCTAGACATTAAAATTTAAAACCATTTACATTGCAAACCTTATTGAGCTCAAGTTTATTTTAATAATAATAATAATAATACTTAATAAACTATCTAATTGTTCAAAAATTTGATGCTATGTTGGGTAAAACTTATAATTACAGATTATGATAATGAATTGCAAATAATTAACTACAACTTACTTATGAATCATTGTTCAAACAGTATACACATCTCACCAATTGTTATATCATCCTCCCTGGAAATACGACTCCAGGGGTATTTTCATTTTAGTTGAAATTCATGTTCATTTCACTAAGGACTGAAGAATAGCTAAGCGCCTAAGCTAACCCAAAAATGAGAACACAAGTTTAATCAAAACATACGCTTCAATTTACCATGGAAATAAGTTCTAGAAAAGAAACGTGAAGACCAAAATGAAACTGAATAAGCATGAAATCCAAGTAAATTGAAAATTGAGAATCACACATGTACCTAAAGTACAACATAACTTGCCCGTATTCCACAACCCCCAATCCTAATCATAAGTTTCAATCTATAATCTCAATAATCTGATTAAAAAAATACACAGAATGGGAGGAGTGAAACGATCAATCTGAAGAGCAAGAATGAGTTTTGCCGAATTAACAGACCAACAATCTAATTATTCATTTTGATTGAATATTATAAAACAAGACAGAATGGGAAATTTACCGCTCGAGCAAGTGCGACTGGCATGTGAGATGAGGCCGAGTGGCAAAGGAAAAGGTTGCGACTAGTACCATAAAGAGTCGCCATGCGAACAATTGCAGACATCATTTTCGCGTCTACCAAACCCGAATATCACTTAGCGTCGATGACAGCACCGCCGATGGAGACTTCCCGATCGTCGCCTCAACAGTTACAGTAGTAAGAGTAGAATGCGCCAAAATAGAACGCCTTCAAAACGAAAACGGAGTAGAATGATCCAAAGTAAAATTTGTCTATTATGTGGGCAAATTATACCGGGCACCCGGCGCACAATGCATTGTGCACCCTGATTAAAAGGACGATGTTTTGATCATGTTTATTTTTAGAATTCCTATTTCTCGTTTATACTGTTAAATTAAAAAAAAAAAAAAAATATTTCAAATGTACATACATTCATAACAGAATACACAAAAAACTCATAACATAATACATATAATCTAACATAATACATAATACACATAAACTCATAACATAATACACATAAACTAATAACAGAATACACATAATCTAACATAATACATATAAACTCATAACAGAATACACATAAACTCTTAACATACTACACATAAAATCTTAACAATAAAAATGACGTCGTTTTGGTCAAGGCGCACACAGGGGCGGAGCCAGGATTGAATAGTGCAGGGGGCCAACTACGGTTGAAGTACTAAATCAAATACATTGATATCCCGTTAACATATTTCTAAATAATCATTACATTACAAATTTAATAAAGTTTAGAATAAATCATTTATAATTGAATCTATATTAAATTATTTTGCAATATGCTTTTCAATGCACATTGCTTTGTATGGATGAAAGAATGAAAACATTCACGTATGTTTTACAAGATTATTGATTATTTCTTGAAAAACCCTAGCTCTTCACAACATAACATAATCTCAATTGTTTTCTCAAATACATATACTACACAATTGTTACATTATTATGCATTTTAAATTAAATACAAAATTTATCACATAACCACAAATTTACATAATTACCAAACAAATGCACCTTGATATCCATTATTTAGAATTTAAAAAAAAAAACAACTATTTAAGATAAACAATAGAATATGAAACGAAAATTAACTAAACAAGTAGTTAGAAACAAAAATATAAATATAAATAAAAAACAAAAATTAACTTGAAAAATATGCATAAATTTTATTAATAACAAATTATCTTGTTATAGCGTATATGCCGCTATATGTATGGTTCTAGAGAGAGAAACTAGTAAGTAGGTTAAATGAAGTTTAATTTGAATGTGAGTCAACAATATAAAAAAGACATAATTTGAAAAGGGAGAGAACTAAAAAAGTTGAGAAGATGAAGAATTTTATAACTTAACCAGTAAAATTAATTTAAGTGGAGGGGGGCCAAATATTTTGAAGTAACAACAAAATTTTAAAATTCTATATAATATTTTTAAAAAAAAATTAATACATATATAATATTTTTAAAAAATTGGGGTGGGGAGGGGGGCCAAGGCCCCCCAAGGCATTAACTTGCCTCCGCCCCTGGGTGCACAATGCATTGTGCGTCCTAGTGCACTGTATAACGATTGCTTTATGTGTTCTTAGGCTTTGGCTGATAATTATTGTAATTGTTAATTAATTATTTTGATATTGTTAAGGTGGCCCATTAAATATATGGTTAGTCTGATTGGTTAAAGATGTCACTTGGCTACCAACCCCCTAAGTTCTAACAGTTTTATGGAAAAGACAATCTAAAGCAATACATCCCCCACTTCGTGGAAACCTACAGCGACACTAGGACAATGGAGATCTTATTGTCAAGTAGTTTGTATGCTCTTTTGAAGGGCACTGCTTTTAATTTGTACACTAACTTGAAACTCGATTGCATTGATATTTGGCATGACGTGGAGCGCGAGTTCTTAACTCACTACTTCTACAGCATAAAAAGGACCATCAGCTTTGTAGAATTCACCACTACTCACCAATGGAAGGGTGAGCGTTTAGTTATTAACATTGAAAGATGGAAGGAGTTGTCTAAATTGCATTGAAAGGATATCATAGAGTCACAATTGAGATATACATCCAAGGCACTTCGAGCTCTCTTACTTCTTGCAAGGGATTGAGCCCAATACATTTGAAGAATTATCCAGTCAAGCTCGCGACATTGAGTTGAGTATTGAAGCCAATTATGGGCTTAGCATGTTGAATATACCCAACTCCTTCAAGGTACCTGGAAAGTATGTAAGAGGTTAAGAAAGGATGTAATATCTTTCCATAGCAAGAGAAGAAGGAGGCGATGAACGCGAAGACTCGACTCGTGAGAGTAAGTGACCAAGAAAGATTACTCCATGGCCCATTAAGGGAAATTAGAAAGATGACCGTTGAAGAATGACATGAGAAACAATTTTTGTTTTTGGATATTACATCTCTCCTATGTTCGATGAGTTGTTGAAACTCAAATTGATTGAATTGAAACAAAATCAAGCACCCAAATGAAGCTTCTAGGGTGGATGATCGTAATTACTGTAAGTACCACTGACTCACCAATCATTCAATAGAAAAATATTCTGTTTTCAAAGATAGTTTTATGTCGCTTACTTGGGATGGAAAAATAGAGCTCGATGATGCTACTACAAAAGGGTGGGGGAAAGCGACATAAATGCCCACTCCCATTTATTATAAATATAAGGATAGGAATATGCCAGATCTCTTTGTACAATTGTATCCTTATTACTTTTATTATCATTATCATTGTGTAGAGATATTTTAGTCTTTATACTCATTATTTCTTATCATTCCAATCTCAACCAAACAATGGAATTAATATTCCTAATAATTTCTTTTCAATAAATCAACCAATAGAATAAATCTTCTTAGTAATTTCTTTTCATGGAATTTCAATTCGATTTTTTCTCGAATATTTTCTGCGAATCAAACGGACCTTAATGTTAAACGTACTAGATCCAACGATAACCTTGCAGACCTTTAGTAAATAATCATTGCCTACCTCAACTTTTGAGAAACTTATTTATGGAATAGGCATGAGAATGAGTCTTGAAAAGCAAGACTAAAGGTCTACAAATCAAGGGGATATATATATATATATGTAATGCGCTACATTTTTCTTCCCTTTGTCTTAAATTTTTCCAATTGGGGTTTTCCTGGCCTGAGGTTTTAAACTTTTAATAATGTAGCATTGGAAGAACAAAGCATTTGAGTGTGTACTCTTTTTTCCTTCAGTATCGTTATTTTTCTTACCGGGATTTTCCTTACCAAAGTTTTTAACAAGGCACATAAGGACTCATCAATATGGTAATTGGTCACAAGGGAGTGTTATAGAACACAATAACTTAGAGTCTAAAGTGAGTGGACTCAATTACCTCAGCTCAGAGATCTTTTAGACATTCATCTTTTATCTTTCACAACAATTTAAGCATTACCGGCTTGAATTTTACCCAACATATCATGGAGAAGCCAATTTGTCATAATTCTGTACGCATTCTGAGTCATATGGATACCATCCCAACTAATCCTTTTACTTGGATCTGAACACACTGGAACTCCAGGAAATCCACACATTTGATTCATGTTAAAATCATAATTTCCTCCCACTCCACAACAAGACTTCTGAATTGAACTTTCATCAAATCCTACAAAAAAACAAATAAACAAAGAAGAATGAGATAATCCTCTTACAAAACTGATATGATTGGATGCCAAATTAATTCATTAATGACCATTTCTTGTGCTCGTACCAAATTTTGCAGAATGTTGTAAGAGTGAAAGGTAGGCGTTATAGTAATCACCATAGATCATTGTAACATGAGGATGTTGTTTCTGCAAATCTTGAATGGCTTGTTTCAACAAGTCATTGTGGTATATAGACAAATTGTTGAAATCCCTCAAGCAGTGGTGTTCATCATAGGCCGATGGTTCATTTGTTTGAAAACCTGTGAGATACATTGGAATACAACCAATTGGAAAATTTCCAGGAACTATGATTCGAGTAGCACCATAGCTAATGACTTTCTGCAAAATGTAAAAAAGAGGTCGGAGTTCAAAACCCCTTCTTGTATGGAAAATCAATATGTCCAGCACTTTAATTTGCTCCTTAATTGGTATGGCAATATGGCATGGTGCAAACTAGAATTAGTCTAAGTATGGTATTGACTTAAAAGTGCCTCCTATAGTTAAGGTTTAAGTAAGACGCTTGGTGGTCTAAAGAAAACAAATTTTAATAATGTTTTATGATAAAATTTCAATTTTGGTCCCACGAGTATTAGCAAAATAACAGTTTTGGTCTACATGTTTAATTCGTACCAATTTTCATTCACGACTACTGTTTTAGTACCAATTTTCCTCCACGACTTTTGTTTTAGTGCTAAAATTCATCACGTCGGTCACTCATTCATTTAAGACATGCCAAAATCTAAAAATTTTAATGATATTTTCGTCCTTTTCAACTTAAGATCTCAATTTGAACATTAATAATGAGATTTAAGTCCTAAGATCGATCCCGGTTCGTAGTTCTCCTCCTCATCTTACCTTCATTTGAGGAGGATGACTGTGAATTGGGATCGATCTTAGAGGTTAAATCCCTTTATTCATGTTCAAATTGGGATCTTAATTTGAAAATGACGAAAATACCCTTAATAATTTTATATTTCGGCATATCTTAAACGAATGGGTGACCAGTGTGATGAATTTTGACACTAAAACAATAGTCGTGGATGAAAATTGGTACTAAAATAATAGTCGTTGATGAAAATTGATAGAAATTAAACATGTGGACCAAAACTGTCATTTTGCTAATACTCGTGGGACCAAAATTGATATTTGCTCATGTTTTATTTTAGCTAGTAGTAAAAGACGAGCCCGTTTGAGTAGCTCAACTGGTCATAGAAGTTAAATGTGTCACAAGAGACAAAGGATCCTCACTAAGAACATAGTGGAAGCAATTAACCTCTCAAAACGAGGGCAAATTATATCGTGCACCGTGGTGCATAATCGATTATGCACCGCGCATCAAAACGACTTCGTTTTATTTAATGAAAAGAAACGAAATTCGTTTTGCGCCGTTCCGTAACGTTCCGCAAAAAATAACTCTGTTCTTCAGTTTCATTTTGTATACACTGTAGTTTCAGTTTAACACAACTACAGTTTCATTTCGATATAACTACAGTTTCATTCAATATTTATACATTCAAATATGTGAAAATGTTATTTAATTTTATTTTATATACACTATAGTTTCATTAAAACACAACCACATGATCATTTCGATATAATTACAGCTCCATTGTACAATATACACTCAAATATGTGAAATGTTATTCAGTTTCATTTTATATATACTGCAGTTTCATTTCACCACAACTATAGTATTATTTTGATATAACTGCAGTTTCATTTGATAATATAAAAATAATACGTGAGGCAGTGTCGGTTTAGATACACTGTAATGTCACTCCGTTACCAACAGCGCGTCATTTGTCTGCGCCATTTTGATGCGCGGTACATAATCAATTATGTACCGCGGTCCACGATATAACAACCGCAAAACAAGGGGCTCCAAAAGACGAAATAAATAACTAACCTTAACAGCAACCATGATGACTTGGACAATTTCTGGAACCATACTTCTCAACTCCTCCATGTTTTTCCCTTGAACAAATGCGTAATTAATATCATTGCCTCCAGTCTCTCCAACCATGAAAAGAGAATTGTTACGAGTCTCTGCGCAACCTAATAAGAGAAAGGAAGAAGAATATATGGTATTAACTCTTTAAGCTTTAATTTTTTAGTAAAAAGAAAAAGTGATTTACCACTTTGGGTGCCATTGCAAGTGGAATTGAAGTATGTATCCATCCAACCAAGTTGAACGGCCAAAGAACTTGCCGTCACCGGATTCTGGATGTTTTTGGCCGCCAATGCTTCGACTGAGAGAGCCGTGGAGCCGGCAACGGCGAAATTGACACCATTACTGAAGTTTGCATTTGTGTTTTTGTTAGGGTTTAGGAGCGGAAGACCAAATGCCAATGCTGCGTACATAAATAAAATTTGCATTGTTAAAATTGTTTTTTGGGTGACGAGAGAAATCCGGTCCTAACCATAGCTGATCAGCTCAAATGAAATATTATGGTTCAGTATGTAGTATTTGAGACAAAAGATCAATGTTTGAATCTCCTATTTACTGAGTTAATGAGTCACTGTAATTTACATCCTCCTAAATGCTCTGTTGGGTCGGGATGTGGGAGTCTTTTGAAATTGGGGATTCAACTTTTTGGGAAAAGCTCAAATGAAGAATATTGTTGCTCCTAAAATTTGCATTGTTGTTGATAATTTAATATTGTTAATACAATTAATCTCAATTACAAACATTATGAAAAATAGCAATTCATCTTGGCTAATTTGGGAAATTTAAACAAGCATGTCATACTATATATTGAAAGTATATATGAGACAACAATGAAATTTTTATAATTTAAATTTACTAGATAAATAAAATAAAAATTCATACCAAAAAAGTCAATCATGAGAAGTCCATCCGAACAACGACCAGTAGCTTTTTTGAAGAAGGTTTCACCGTAAGGAAGACTAGCATAGGGAGAGATAGCTCCTACGGGACTCTCCCTGATCAAATTTCCAGTGTCTGAAATCGAATCACCAAGTTGATATATTTTATCTATCTTCCATGAAAAGAACACGGGATTGAATTGTATTGCATCAACAAATTGTTGAAAAATTAAAAGTGTAAAAAAAAGCATAGAAAGCATTCGAGTTTTCACCATTGCTAGTTGAAAACTTCATTGCCAAACTACACAATTCCAAAATGTACACTTAACATTTGGTTTGTATTTATAGATGTGCTTTAAATCGTCTCAAAGTAGGTTTGTTCATAACTTGTAATCCTAATAGGGAGACGAGTGAAAATCAATTGAATTAGCTAGGAAAAAATGTATTGTCCTAGTTTTGTTGGTTTAGTAATACACTATGCTTAACCTAACAAGTTTCTTCATGGAATAATCATATATAATCCATAAAAGTTTTATTCACGAAAGCCTAAAACGCTTAATTAGTTAGCCAAACTTTTCATATAAGGTATCAACTTAATAGACTTTCTAAATTGAGTTCAATACAAGATTGCATCAAGTATTACCTAATACAATTTCGTTGATCTAATATTGACTTTCGTATAAAACACCTCTCGATCTCCATCAACTAAACAAAAATTAAAATAATTAATCAAGTTAATACCCGGTTTAGTCCCTTCACTATCTGAATTTACCAAGTTGGTTCTCAACTATTAATTTACCTAATAAAATCCCTGACTAATTAATATTTTTTGATACATTAAGTTTCTCAACTTATACCATACTAACTTAGCCTCCTAGTCAGTCTATGTGTTGACTCTGCGCACAAGGGATCTATCTCCATACTTTCACCAACTTGGGGAGCCCAATCTCCAATCTAGGGAACCCAAGGCCCAAACTCCTCACCCTACTGCTGGAGTGACAATTTTAGGTCAGGTGGTCTACCACTTGAACTAACCCTGCGAGATCTTGACAATGTAATTTTTACTCAATTTAGTCTGCTGTTTAATCTTCCATTTGTTGACGGTTAAAAGTGAAGACAAAACTGTAATTTTGCTAGTTTCCTCCCTTTTTCTCCATCATCGATTTTTCTCAAAAATCTTGTGATAGAGAACTCTATCCCATTAAACATTCATGTTTTTTTTTGTGCCTATAAATGAGTTAAGTAGCAACAAATTAAATCTGGAGGGAAGCAAAAGAATTCATATGCTCAGGACAGAAATTCAGATTTATTCACATGTCATGTATGTCATCATCTAAATCAATATAAGAGTAATCGATCTATTAGACCATAACTCAAACTAAGATAAAGGTTCATGAATATGAATTACAAGGTTCAATTCACTAATCACTTAATATGACCAATGAAAACACTACGCAACCTCTCAAAGTGAGGGTGGTTCATTATGCGCAGTGAGCACCGGTCTAGCCTCTGTGATTCATGTTCAGTTGAGTTACCATGATTTACATCTTCCCAAATGCTCTATCGGGTCGGGGTATGGGGGCCTTTAGGGTTGAAGTTCAGCCTTTGGAAGAATTAAAGCCTCACAAACCTTTTAACACTAAATCACTATAACATAATTGACTAGATGACTTCTTCAAAAATAATAATAATAATAATAATAATAATAATAATAATAATAATAATAATAATAATAATAATAATAATAATTCTTCCCAAAAAAATAATAATAATAATAATAATAATAATAATAATAATAATAATTGACTAGATGACTAGACCATGATTCAAATAAAAATAAAGAGTGTCAAATTTTAAAGATAAAGCATTAAAGATTCATATAATCTGATTTTAAAAATGACGACGTTAGAATTTTAATATGACGTTATTGATTAAACCATCCCACAATTCAAACTAATATATAAATATTCATATAAAATATAACTTGTTTCTAAGATAATGTTAAAGATTAATACAATCTGATTTTAAAAATGACGACGTTAAAATTTTAATATGACGTTATTGATTAAACCATCCCACAATTCAAACTAATATATAAATATTCATATAAAATATAACTTGTTTCTAAGATAATGTTAAAGATTAATACAATCTGATTTTTAAAATGACGACGTTAAAATTTTAATATGACGTTATTGATTAAACCACAATTCAAACTAATATATAAATGTTCATATAAGATATAACTTGTTTCTAAGATAATGTTAAGGATTCATACAATTCATTATTAAGATTATGTTAAAGTTTTAATATGACGTTATTGACATTTAAAAAAAAAAAAAAAAAAAAAAAAAAAACCATTCATTCTTTTTCAATTTCCGTTATTGACCAAAAGCTCTGTATCAAATGCCACCTACGGATTTCATTTAAGTTCTTCTTGTCCCATTTCATTTAAGTTCTAGCAGTAGAATTCCCTAACAAAGACCCATAAATATTTTACAAAATAATATTCATTTTTATATTTAAAAACCATTACCTTTTTACCTTTCGTGATTTATCCTTGTGCGTTTTAACTTAAAACAAAATAGATAAACTTGTGATAAATGTGAATGAAAGTTGGTACATTTTATTTATGTTCATTTTGTTACTTTTTTAATACATTATATTATAAATGTTATACTATACAATTTTTTAAACAAAAATCACTCTTACCATTATAATTTATGTTATCATCATTTTTCATTAATGTTACCGTATATATGCGTGCATCCATCATATCTTTTCTTATATTATTTAATTGTAATAATATATAAGACATTAATACATTATATTAGAGTAATATAGTAAACTAATTTGATTTCATTTACATATATTAATTATTAAGGATTAGTTAGTTATTTATTAAAATATAAATATTAAATTTTTAAAGATTATGATTATTATTTCTTGATATTGTCCAAATTTGATAATCAAAATTTACCATTTTAATTTTTTTTTTTTTTTTTTTGGAAAAACAGAACTCAATTCATTAAATCATCATCAAGAATCAGAAGCAGAAAGATGGGCGGACCATCTAAGCACTCCCCGGAACCTGTCACAGAAACGGCACCCCTACTATTTTAATAAACTATAAAAGATCATTGAAATTTAAAGTTACTATTATCACCTTCACAAATCATGTCGGGGTATCAGGTGTGGGAGTCTGGGAGGAGAGATTTTGCTTTTGTGAGAGGATTGCAGAAACAAGGAATGATTTTAATTTATTTAATTAGTAGAAGCATCATATATATGATATATCCGCAGGACAATTATATTAAAGTAATTTAGATTATTAGATAGATATAGAGCTAGCTGCAGGGCGGTGATCTGCAGGCCAGGCATGAAGATCAGACTACTACTAATTAACACTCGCGAGTACAGAAACAACGGCGGCGGAAACCGCGACAATGGCCGCCGGTGAAGCCTTCGCTTATGCAGACGTTGGCGCAGTTGGTGTTGCTCCAGCATTGCCCTTTGAATCTCTGGCTCTGAGACTCGCACAGCCTGCCCTCAACCCCCCTCATCGTCATCTTTCCGTCTGCACATACATAAATATATACTTTCTTCAATTCATTTTACCCGGCCCCTTACTTAATTCACAACTATATTATATTATATATTATAATAATGAAAAACTAATTAAGACACTGAAAGTAATACATAATATTAATTACCAAAAGAAGGGAGTAGAAGCAGCAACAGCAGAAACACATTGGATAGCTTAATGGACTCCATCTTTATATTTATAAATTATTTTGGAGTAGTATATATTTTGTGGGCAGGGCTGGCTTTCAGTGTATTTATAAGTGGGAGAGGACGCAGACAGAGGTGGGCACAGACAAATTATATATGTTTATAAACTTTTAGATATATACTTACAATAATAACATGTTAATTTAATGTTAACAATACTCAAATATATATATATATATATATATATATATATATATATATATATATATTCTATTAAGATAGAATAAAAAATTAATTGAATAGATATGTTGAATTTATTTTAATTAGATAGAATTGAAGTCTTCTATTTAATTTAATATTTTCATATACATATATTTAATTTCAATTTTTATTTATTTTGAATTTCAGTTCAAAATTTTTTAAATTAAAATAATTCCATTTGATTCTAAGGGTGTGTTTCAAAACTTGGAAAATGAGTTTTGAAAATCATTTTCCAAGTTTCCATTGTTTGGATGTGTCTGAAAATCAAGTCAACGGAAATCATTTTCCGTTGACTTTGGAAAATAGGCTTGTTTTGAAGTGACTTTCCCTTTTTTTGGGGAAGTCATTTTCCAACTTTTACACCAACATCACACCACCACCAACATCATCAACACCATACCACCACCACCTCACTACCACCATCACCACCACTACTGCCGCCGCCACCACCACTATACCACCGCAACCACTGCCACCACACCACCACCATCACACCACCACCACTATCACCACCACCACCACCACCGCTGCCACCATACCACCGCAACCATCGTCGCTGCCACCACCAACACCATACCACTGCAACCACCATCGCCACCACACCACCACCACCACACCACCGCTGCCACCACCGCCACCGCCGCCACCACCACCATACCATCGTCGCCGCCACCACCACCACCATACTACCGCCACCACCATCACACCACCACCACTACCACCACCGATGTCGCCACGACCATACCACCGCAACCACCGTCACCGCCACTACCACCGTAACCACCGCCACCACACCACCACCACTTCCACCAACGTCATACCACCACCCGTTATTATTATTATTATTATTATTATTATTATTATTATTATTATTATTATTATTATTATTATATAACAAATAACACCATTATCACTACACCACCACCAACACCACATTACAACCACTATACCACCACCATACCACTATAATATTTTTGATATATTATTAGTTATTTTTTTTATTATATTTTAAATTATTATTATATATTATTATACATGTTGTTATATTCTAAATAAAATAATTAAAATGTTTAATTATACAATTCTACTCATTTTCCAGAAATGAACCAAGCACACCAAAACAGTTTTCCAGAATGAAACCAAACATTGAAAAGGAAAATGTTTTCCGAAAAATAACTCATTTTCCAAAAGTCATTTTCCTGTTTTCCAAACGGACCCTAAGTTCTAAGTCTAGACCAACATACCTTTGGAGGGGAATATCACGCAGAGAAATATATATGAATTAGGGGAAAAAAGGCATTACCCAAAAGTCAATAGCGTGTAGCGGGAAAGGAGAAAATGACAAGTTTTTGGACACCTACTATTTCAGAATGTGTCAATACAGAAATACTTCAAGCGTGAAGAAGTTACGAGTAACAAGCATATATGCGAGTTTAAACAGAGATTATCTTCTTCAAAAGCTCTCAGCCATTCAAGCTTAAATGCTTCAAGAATCTTACAAATTCTATCCAAAAGATTAGTCTACTTGACTAACAACTTTCAGAGATCTTTCTCTCACCCTTTTCAAGACAACTTCGTTGTAGACCCTAGGAGAAGGGGGTGAAGTAATGAAGAACATGCACCTTTGTGATTTGTGAAGAAAGTTGTTCTCGAGTGTCTTGGTGTAGTTGTTCACTTGTATTTGGGAGATAAAATACTAGTGAAATACTTCATGTGTTGAGAGAATATAATAGCGGAGTAGGAAATTTCTCAAACCACTATAAAAATTGTGCCTTAACCACTATATCTCTCTACTCGTTATTTTCATACATGGTTTTCTTTGAACTTAATCACACATGTAAACACTTTGTATCAAAACGCTACAAATCATTTAAGGCCCGCAACTTACAAAAGTCTTCTGCGATGCACTTTAAAATTTTACGTTAAAATCTATAATAAAAAATAGTTTTTAAATTCATAGAAAGTCTATTTAACACTTTCCCCCTTTAGACTTTCTCACTGTCTTGATACAAACAATAAGATTGCAACAAAATTTACAATTAACCTATTGCTATTGCAAACTAAATTGCAACAGATTTAAGCAAACTATTTTTTGCAACGAAACTTACAACAGATTAAATTTCATTACTATATTTGCAATGAGATTAGTGAGGGCAAACTCGTTGCATATATTGTAACATATTGAAATCCGTCGCTATATATTTGTAACAAAGTAACTAAATATGAATAAATCGTGTAAACATTGCAACGGAATTTACAACCAAACTTAATCTGCTGCAGAATTTGCAATGGAACTTAATCAGCTACAAAATTTGCAATGGAACTTAATCAGCTACAAAATTTGCAACTAAAAAAAAAAGTGAATACCACTTACAATGCAATTTGGAGTAAATTTGATTCCTAACAACCTTTTATCTCTTTTCATATTGTCAATTGTTCATACAATATTTTTGATTTTGAGAGAAAATTATTAGAGCTCTATAGCATATCCATATTGTCAATTTTTCACACAATACTTTTGATTTTGAGAGAAAATTAATTATTAGAGCTCTATAGAAAATTAGGAAAACATATCAAATTGAGAATGATTTGTGTTTTGAGAGAAAGTTAATGAATTTTCATACTTATCATTTCATCACCATTCATTTTAATGGATACTTAAAATGACGGACTAAAATAACCACAAAACAAATAATTCATAAATTAATTAAATATGATCAAATGTATAATTAAAAGATTGAATTTATCATTATATCATAATCAAAAGACTAAAATGACAATTTTTTCTTAATGATTATTAAGAAGTAGTACAATTTTTCCTAAAAATATTAAGATATGGGATGATCGTACACAAGATTTAGGGTGTGTTTAGTTCATGGGTTTACACACTATGAATGAGAATCAAAATCATAGTTAGTGTTGATAACTTTTTAAGACACATATATGAGATTTGATTACCCTTTGAATTAAAAACCTTATTTCCTACTTAAATATAAATCGGTATCATTTCATATTATTGGTAATCTGATTTATAAGTTTAGATCAGTGTTTTTAAATTTTTATTTTGATTTTTTTGTTCATCCTTTAGATATCACTATATTAATTAGGATCAATTATTTTTTTATTTTTGTATTTTTAAAACATTTATTCCCATTATAGGGTCATATATAACCAAACATCAATATTGATAACCATTACAATTCTATCTTACTACTAAACATGCAAAATACTTTTACTAAAATCAATTATTATTATTAAGTATTTAATTCATATTTCGATTTGATTCCCTTATATTATGCGAACCAAACACGCCCATACTTTTAAAATTTTAATTTTCGTGATTTATGCGTTAGTTTTAAGTTGGAACAAAATAGATAAACTTGTGTGAACACAATTATTATATATACTTGAAAATTAACAAACATGAGCTTATTACCCAAACCCTAATAATCATTTAAATTTATTTATTTAGTAGAAGCATCATACATATATCCGCAAGACAATTATATTAAAGTAATTTAGAGAAAATATTTGTATAATATAATTTAGATAGATATAGAGGTAGCAGGGCGGTGATGTATCAGTGATGAGGACATTCGCGAGTACAGAAACAACGGTGGCGGAAACCGCGACAATGGCCGCCGGTGAAGCCTTCGCTTAAGCAGACGCTGGCGCAGTTGGCGTGGCTCCAGCACTCCCCTTTGAATTTGTGACTCTGAGACTCGCACAGCCGACCCTCTACCATTATCCTCATCTTCTCATCTGCAATAATAATTCAAATACTTCCTTTATTTTACTCTTCTTCTTTTTTTTTTTTAATGAAAAATGAAACCGGCAACTACTATTTGAATGAAAATGTGTATGAATGGTATAAACTCTGACTTGTGGTATAGTCGATAAGGGTCTCTTTGTGAGATTAATCAGTTTAAGTTGCTGCTCATATAGCTTATCAGCTCAAAAGAAGATTAAAATTGAAATTCGTGACTTTATAATTACAATTTTGTATCATAACCATGTTAGTTGGATTACTAAATTTCTGAACATATATGATTCTCACCTGATTATGAACTTTTATATATATATATATATATATATATATACTATAATAATGAAAATAGTAAGGAGTAAAAGAAAAATATAAATAAAATGAGTGAAAGTAATATATATATATATTACCAAAAGAAGGGAGGAGAAGCAGCAGCAATAGCGGAATGACAATGGATAGATTAATGGACGCCATATTTATATTATTTATTTATTTATAAATTAATTTAAAGTTAATTTGGAGTTGTATTTTGAGGGCAGAGCTTTCAGTGTATTTATAAGGGGGAGAGAATGGCAGAACGCAGGTGCAGAAATATGTATGACACGTAGCAAGAGTTGAAGCCCACGTGTAGCTCATGTAGTAGTACGTTACATTATTATATTCTTAATAATTAAGTTTAGGGTTTTACATTTAATTTACATAATCTCAAAGGGAAGTAGTACGTGTGAAGTGTCTACATACATTCTTTGTTAGGTGACGTATGAACAAATTAAAATGGATAAGCACTAAAATTCTCTGCATTTTTGCGATATTCTTTTTTCTTTATAAAATAACTCAATTAATTACCATATTATTATATATCTTTGCAATTCACTTAAAAATCACTTTAAAAGAAAAAAGTGATCTCACTTTTACTCCACATAAATAATAATAATAATAAATTAATAATAGTTGAACTAACTTATAAGGCATGGTATATCTTTAAATTATGTTCATTTTTTATATATGTTTATTAAACTACACATTATATTTACAATTTTGTATTTTACTTTTTTTTTTCAAGACAAATTACTCTCACACTGTTAAATATTCTGTTAGAGTGTCAATTAAGTATTAATTTTTAAATCAATTAACTAACTATATTCACCTTGAAACATTGCATGCTTATCAAATTATTAGATATTATATTATACTAAACCAAATATATTTTACTATGAAGTATTATTTAAATATTTATCAATTATAATATATAATTAATCAACGCAAATAAACTTGAATACAATTATTAAATTTTTACAAATAAATAAACTATTTATAATAGTTTACCTAGACTACTATAAATAAATATAACATAAATTATATAATGTGTGTCATTTATTTATACTATTTCACTCGTACTTGTACAGAACTCAATTGGTATTAAGTGATAGATTAAAGGTAAATAAAAGGAATAGCTTCCTTAGTTTATTAAAAAAAAAAAAAAATAGAACTTTATTCTATAGTATAATAATATATATAATTTAAATATAGGGCGGCCGGCGGTGATGAGATCAGGCATGTTGGCAAGAGCGAGAGCAGAAACAACGGCGACGGAAACCGCGACAATTGCCGCCGGCGAAGCCTTCGCTTCTACAGACGCTGCCGCAATTGGTGTCGCTCCAGCACAGCCCTTTGAATCTGTTGCTCTTTGACTCGCAAACCCGCCCGGATCCTCCGCCCTCCACCCTCACCCTCATCCTCATCTTCGAATCTGCAAATTAAATTAATTATAATTCCTCATTTATATATATATATGGACGGAGCCCCAGGGGACAGGGGTCAGCTGTCCCCCTCACCCCACCTCCACCCCATATATAATTTGTGTATGTATATATATATATATATAGTATAAGTTTTAGTATTAGTATAAGAAACTTGTAAATATCAATAAGTAGTTGGATTAGTTGGTAGAGCATGTGTATGGTAATGGGAAGGGTCTTGAGTTTGAGACCTTGTAGTAGCGTAGTGTGTCTTTCCCAAGCTTATAGCTTTAATACATTTACTTTATATATATATATATATATATATAACATTTTTGTTATATTAATAGTGATATATGTTTATAATGTGTTTTCTATTCAAACTGTTTTATCAAATTAAAACTATATTTCTTAAGTAATGATTATAAGAAAAAAAAAATCTTAGGTAATTTATTTTTAAAAAAAATTATATCTTTTGTTTTAATGTCTCAATTTTATTGGAAAAAAATTTCTGAATTCGTCCTACTTCTTCGTCCCTTTCAATGGAATTTTTAGCTCCGTCCCTTTTTATATATATATATATATATATATATATATATATATATATATAATTTAGTTGTGAAATAATATAATCTATCCAAAATGACTATGATAGAAACTTGTAATCATAAAATCACAACTTTAAATTTTACTTTTTCAGTTTGAAATGTCAGCAACTTAGACTGATTAATAATATTTTAATGAATACCTTAAATTTTAAAATGCAATGTGATGATATTTTCGTAAATATTTTAAACTTTAACCGATCGATACTATAAAATATATTCAGTAATATGTGACTATGCGAGAGTATAATGCATTTGGTAAACTTCATTTTAAATAGGTAAGGGTATTTTTTGCGAAATAATAGGTAAGGGTATATTACAAGTTACAACCTAACAATTAAAAAAAAAAAAGACTAAAATGACTAATAATGAACGATTAAAGAATTTAAAATAGCCAATAACCTTGTGGAAAGTAATTAGACAATATTGACTCTCTGTACTTCAAAAAAAGAATTTAAAATAATTTTTTCTTCTTTATTTATTAAAACACGTCCGACATCATAAAACACTACAATATATAAGAATTCTCATATTTATTATATATTGAAGATTATTTATATAAATTAATTTATTACCAAAAGAAGGGAGTAGAAGCAGCAGCAAGAGCAGAACGAGACTGGAAAGCTTAGTGACTGTGTTAATGGACGTCGACATGTTTATATATAATATTATGAATGTATTGGGATCGGAGAGTATACACTATACTATATAATTTGAATGTACTTATAAGCAGGATATACAACTGGAGACGACACTGATGACGCACTGCGAAATTGTGGGTAGACACGTAGCAACAGTTCAATGCCAACGTGGACACCTAGGTCCGGTGTGGCATGTTTTTTAGGTGACACGTGTAACCTCATGCAGCAATACAAGTTGCGATCAGATTAAACCCAAACAGAAAAAGAAGAAAAACAATATGGACACTCAACGTTTTGTATTTTTTTTTTTTTTTGAAACTAGATATTAGTTATTTTGATGTATGAATTAGTGTTCTTACAATATATATATATATATATGTGTGTGTGTGTGTGTGTGTGTGTGTGTGTGTGTGTGTGTGTGTGTGTGTGTGTGTGTGTGTGTGTGTGTGTGTGTGTGTGTGTGTGTGTGTGTGTGTGTGGGGGGGGGGGGTTGGACTTCCATTTGAAAGATTGTGAGTTCGAGCCTCAGTGGAAGCGTTATTGGTTCTTTGTGTTTCAGTAGGTTGAGAAAGTATATGAACAGATACTACAATGTAATAGAGCCAGTAGCATTCAAAATATATATATATATATATATATATATATATATATATATAGGTTGAGAAAGTATATGAACAGATACTACAATGTAATAGAGCCAGTAGCATTCAAAAAATATATATATATATATGTGTGTGTGTGTGCGCGCGTGTGTATAACAGTACGACCAAATAACGCTTTCCCAACCTTATAACCTTAACGTCCAGTACATTTTCCATACTTCCAAAATTCCCCATCTCATTCTGAGTCTAGTAAAACTTAACTCAACATATTTAAAAATCAATTTCTTTAATTTCCTTTACTATTTCTCATAAATTCATAATATTAATTTAATATTAGTATACAATTTTTATTTTTAAAAATAATATTAAACTCAAAAAAAATAAACAAATTCGAAAATAATGAGAGAACATTGAAAAGAAAAAAAAAATTGACTAGTGAATAGTGTACAAATAAAATAAAATAAAATAAATACTCTCTGTCTCATTTTATGTATTACTTTCTCAGTTCCATTAGAGGTGTTCAATCGGTAAACCGAACTGAATTAACCGAAGTTTTTTTTTCCTTTAACCGTTAACCGAATCGAAGTTTGCTCTACTGAATTTACCGAACCGAAATTTTTTCGGTTAACCGAACTTTTTAAAGCTAAAATTTAAAATTCTAAAAATAACACCTAAAATAATAAATCTAATTAAAATAAAATACATATCATAATAAATTCATAACAAAATATACAAAAACATTAATTAGAAACTCCAAACATCCATAATTTCAAATTAATATTTATATTTATATTATTATTTTTATATATATATTAAAAACTTCGATTAACCGACCTTTCGAACCAAATTAACCGTTAACTAAAATTTTAAAATTCCTTTAACCATTAATCGAAACCAAAAAGTTCGGTTCGAAAACGGTTAACCGAACTTTGTCAGTTCGGTCGGTTAACTAAAAATTATCCAAAGTTTGCACACCATTTTTATCTGTCATACTTACTATTTATCATCAAATAAACTCTTTTTTTTTTTTTATTTATTCTCTTTAGTATTTTTGCTTATTTTTAAATTCAATCAAACTTCTTTAACCGAACCAAACACAAAATGAGATGGATGAAGTATTTATTATTTTTTATTGGTCAAACTAACTATTTTTTTTTTACATATTTTCTTGAGTATTTTTTTACTTAATTTTTAAATTTACCTTTTTGTATTAATAGTACTTTTAATAAAATTTCTAAATATATAAATTTCGTATATTAATATTAAATTTAATATTATAAAAGTTCGATTAAAAGTAACCTAATCAAGCAACTGAACTAGACACAAAATAAAACGAATGAAGTAGTGTACATATTAGGTAAAATGAAACAGAGTGTTGCATTGCATTTATGCTTCTTTGACGTCAAAAACAGTTAAATGTATTATAGTACCAAATATGAACCGCATCGATACATAAACCATAATCCATAATCATAAGCTTGACCAGGAGCAATACTATGGTACATCTTTCATCTTTGGATATGGTAGTGCATGCAACTCAACAATTCCTTAAAACAAAATATCTTTCAAGTTTAAATTTCAAAAAAAAAAAATGTGCTACAAGCTCGCATTCACTACCACTAAAAAGGACGAAAAAAGTGACTTCCACAGATCTACATTATGTAATAATTAAAAAAAAAAATCCTACTTAAATGAATAACTCTCGTCAGACCTAGATTAACATAACCTCTTCCATTCAAACTATTTGTATGTGAGACTCTCAACTGAATCAGCAATCCAAGGAAATACATACCTGAGGAAGATGAAAGCAAATATAAGATACTGTGGCAGTTAAAAATCATTCATAGGTCTTCGCAGGCCGCAATATATAGCTTTCCGGAAGAGAGGGTGAACGTCTTCTGTCAGTACTGTGGCGTCCAACTTCCCTACGTGCGCCCATATCTGTACACCACACACCATTAAGTTAGAAGAGAATGTTGTTTTCTTGGGTTTAGTCTATGATGACGGTTTATGAAATTAACTCGAACAAACTTTTGGATTATTGGCTAAATTAGTGTTTGTACGTACACTCCATCAAACTATGGACTATCTAATCAATAATCTCAATTTAATTGCAATCATTAGATTAAATGTCAACACAACGATTGAGCAACCACAGTTTACCTCAGAAGAGTATTGCCTAGTAAATGCCTTGAGATAACCCAGAGTTGACAAACACCATTGCTCTTTTTCGCCTAGATTATACTCACTCTTGCCTCCATTTTGAGGATTGCTGAATTCAACCAACACCAAGAAAATAAATTAATAAGAAAGAACTAAGTAATATTTCAGATATTTGCCACTCAAAGATTAAAGTAGGTAATTTTCCGGGCACCTTTTCTTTGGTTCTTCATTATCTTTGTCCACTTCCATTGCAGAAGAATCTTCAAGGTCAATGGTCATTTCATCTGCCTGACCAGACGATCGCAAGGTTCCATCTGCAAACACTTCATGAAGTGGTTCTGCCAAGACAGTCGAAAAGTTTCTGTACAAGGAAAGGAACAGTGCCTGTACATAGGATATTGAAACAAAAAACGGCAAGTCAGAGATGAGTAACTCAGAAGAAATGTTCAAGTATTGCATCCAAGACAAAGATTGCATTTGAATGGATATTTATGTATATATGCACGCAAGGTTATATCAAGATATACCTCATTTTCATCAAGTGCTCGAGCTAGAAGAGCTTCTTTTGCTTCTAGAGACTCGCAAATAGATACCTCCTCCTCTTTTGCTTTTTCAGCATTAGCTTTTAGCCGTCTCATTTTGGCAGGGTTTTCGCCAACAACAGGTTCACCATCCAAGAGAGTGAGCTTAGACTCGGCTGAATCCAATTCCGACTGGGTTTTAGATACAGTTTCTTCAACCAACGTAAGACTTCTCTTGAGGGTTGAAATATCTTTCCTTAAATCACAAATACGATTGTACGTCTTACTGACAGCATTTCTCAGAACCTGTGAACAATATCAGAAATCAGTGCATAAGTGAATAATTATAATCACAATTTAAACGGATTAGTGAGATTAACCATTTTATCACATTAAATGAAAATTTTCCTAGTTATAGTCAGGATGATAAGAATAAGAGCACATCCAATGTCCTATATAATGACCTACCTCCCAGGGGCGGTCAGAAGTATGAAATTGATCCACATTTGCTGAAGAGAAAACCCATCTCACAATGGCCAGGTTAGATATAAGCCGGTAACCCATCATTCGATCAATGGCAATTGATGTCATCTGACCATTATTCTTCCAGTAAGAACTTATTTCAGATATGAGAGTAACTTGTTGGTCCTCATCAGTACAGATTTTAGCAATGACTTGGCCATATCTCTCCAAGACAGTAATCAGATGAGTAAAGCTTTTTGATCCAATGTCAAGAAGGGTTTGAAGAACAACTGTGCGAGTAATTTCCAAACTGTGAACTGGAAGTACGTTATTGTCCATCCAAGATATAATTTCTCGAGCAGTTTGCCTTCCTTTAACCATACCACTGAGCTCCACAGACAGAGCATGGTCTGCTTGATCTGTACCATCATCTGCACCGTATTTAAAGCTTGGCCCACCTTTTGGAGGAAGCAACTCCTCTAGAGTAGGTGCATTCTCTATGCTCTGTGTATGTGAATAAACAAATGAAGTCATAAAAGCCAATTAATGGTATATTTAAGCACAAACCTAGATGTCATAACAATTTTTTAAGTCCAAACCTGCTTAATTTTGTCCCAATACGATAGACGGACTTCCCTTTCCAAAACCTCTTGAACAAAGACACGTTGAGGAGCCCATTTCGGGAGGTCTAACACATAAGCCCATTCTTCCCACGGCCATATAAATTGAAAGTTTGATCTGGAAGCAAAAAGGAACAGAGGAAAAGGAAATTCAGGTAAAAACTAAAGAAAACATTACTGACTCTTGATAAATCATGACAGCTTAGGAAACATCGGATTGTCACCAGCAGAAGCATCAGGCAGGATTAGTACAAAAATGATGGCACTTATTAATGGCCATATCAATTGCATTAAGAACTTAAAATGCAAACTTACAAATGATGTGAGAACCATAGGATGAGACGTGTTCTGCACTCCATATCTAAGTCTGCTATTCTATCAAAAAGAGCACGTACTGCACCCGCAACAACAGCAGGAAAAGCCCCTGGAAGTGCCTAAGAATTAAAATCTTTATGGTCAGAACTTTTGTGTGCTATTAAGTGGAAAAAGATATCTATAAAGCTAAAATCTAAAGCCTTTCATAGAAAAGGAGTTGCTTCATAATATTACCTTACATAAGTCGATGATCACCAATGTGTAATATATTGGTTTAAATGGAGGCTGAGGTAACAAAAGCAGCTGCAGGACCAAAGAGGTGAATAAGAGATTAAATAGGATGGCAGATGTCCAAATCTGAGCACTGTCAACAGTGTTCAA